AATTGGTGAGGTCTGAGGAGTTGTCGGGAAGAATGAAGGAAAAGCATTGACGCCTAGAAATGAATGAGGTACAGATGAATGGTTCAGTTATGATGCGTTAAGTTACAGCTTCCCACTGAATAACTGTTTTATGTTTGATTCGTCTATTTCAGAGACTTGCTGTGGCAACGCTGATGGTGGTGGTATTGGTTTTCGTAACAACTTATCCCGACAATGGGCGTGCATTTTATTTTGAGTTACAGTTACCCTGGTAGATTAACTGTTTTATAGGGTTGGAACCGTTACATCTGAAAGTACCTTCATGAGACTCACTAACTAACTAGATGGCTTACCGAACCCGAAGGTTCATCACCGAATTAACCAAAGCCCTCCACCGGACCCTGTCTTGGGCCAACAAAATCCAGTCTCCTGCAACTCCTATCTCCCATAGATCCCGCCTGACATTATCCTCCCATCTACGTCTAGGTCTCCCCAGCGGTCTCTTCCCCTCAGGCTTCTCAACCTGTACCCGGTGCACAGCTCTTGTCCTGTCCATGCGCGCTACATGCCGTGCCCATCTCATTCTTCTCGACTTAATCACCCTGAGGATTACAGATTTTTAAGCTCATCATTATGCAGTTTTCTCCACGCCCCATCGTCTTCTCTCCTAGGCCCAAATATCCTCCTCAACACCTTATTCTCAAACACCTGCAATCTGTGTTCCTCCCTCTGAGTGAGAGACCATGTTTTGCACCCATACGAAACAACAGGCAAAATTATTCACGATACCAAACAGTTAAATATGAAAAGCATTAATTTTCTTTACAAATTCGCAAAACATAGTACGAGGTGCGATCAGAAAGTTTCAAGACTGTGTCAATAGAGGGCGAACCGGATGTAGTACGAGCTTCTGCCGCTAAGGGGTTGGGCCTACATTCATAATGAATCAGTGTGCCAGCCGGCATCATCGAATTAGCATTTGTTTCTTAGTTACGGGCGTTTTGGTAGTGCATTACACCGACCCTCCTGCGATTTCGGAATGGCGGATTTTCATGAACAAATCAAATTTTGCCAAAGACTCGCCAAAACGGCTACGGAAACCTATGAAATGCTAAAGCAAGCATTTGGGGAGTCCGCAATGGGTCGTGCACAAACTTTTGTGTGGCATTCACGTTTTAAAAACGGCCGAACTTCTGTCGATGATGACGAGCGTTCTGGACGACCATCTCCGAGCACAACGCCCGAAAATGTTACCAAGATTCGGCAGGCCATTCACGAAGATCGACGTCGTACCATCAACGACTAATGCGACATTGTTGGGATAGGCTATGCGACCTGTCAGCTGATTCTAAAGGAAGAACTCCACATGCGACACATC